AAAAAAAAAAAAAAAAAAAAAAAATTGGGGTCTTGCCATCTTGCCCAGGCTAGTCTCAAACTCCTGGGCTCAAGCGATCTTCCTGCCTCAGTGGCCCCCAAAGTGCTGGGATTACATATTTTTTATACAAGTTACAAGACTTAACACATTTTAGGAAATGCCCATCTAAGGACCTACAATTTAAGGATTGTTTCCACCACATATTTCCATCTAGGGTCTCAAAGCTGCTAGCCTGTTTTCCTAGATTTAGATGGACTCATCTCAAAACAGCCTCACATTTATAATATATATGCTTTTTTGTTTTTGTTTTTTTGGTCTCAAGCTTTATGGTTTTAAACAGAATTTGCATCTTGCGGTCAGGTCACTTAGAGCAGTATTTTCCTTCCCTGAATTATCTGTCCATTAGTGGGCAGAGAAATCAACTTGGTGGTCACAACCTGAATTTTTTTAAAAACTGAAATAAAACTATCAGAGTATAGTAAGAATATGTATTACTTCACAAAAGTATATGTGAAATTTTTGTGTCCATATATAATCACACTATGTGTGTGTGGTCACAACATAAAATACACTTATTCCTATGAGTTGCAATAAAAGAAAAGTGAAAGCCACTGAATTAAAGAGATGAATTTATTGGTAAATAGATAAAATTAACACCTATTTTAATATATCCAAACCCCTTCCTTATATATATTAGGTAAATTAAAAGAAAAGAAATTATCAAAGCAATAATACAGCCAGCTAGATTGCCAACTTACAAACGAGTAAAGTACCATAAGTTTGTTTGAATATCAGGTGCTTAGGAGTTTTTCTCAAAGAAACAGTTATAAAAGAGAATAGGTTCCCAATTAGTTCACAAAAGCCAATGTAAAGGATGTAGCTTAACTATAGTACCGAGGTTGTCACACACTTAACTTTCGGTCTCTTGCTTATTTATTCATATCTGAGGTTCACTGTTTCTACTAGGACACATTCTGCCCACATCCACACCTTGGTCTCCACATCGAGCAGCTCCTCACAGCAGGCAGACATCTGCTATCAGACATGATGTTCCCAAAGTTGTGCTTAGGATTTCAGAGGAGGAAAAGTTCAGAGGTTCTAATAGCCTTGGGTAACTGAGGTAGAATATGGGGCTCCCAAGAACATCTTCCATATGTCTCAAATCTGTTTGCCTCCCACTCCCATCCAGCTCTGTTCAAGGTCAAGCTTGGGAAAGATACTTGCTCTCAATGGTATATTTTAAAAATCAACACCAATTTTTAATAGACTACCTGCTAAAAGGGTATAATGGCTCACTGCATCTTTTATCAGTCCAGTATAAAAAACACATTGGTGGGACAGGCGCAATGGCTCAAGCCTGTAATCCCAGCACTTTGGGAGGCCGAGGCGGGCAGATCACTTGAGGTGGGGAGTTCAAGACCAGCCTGACCAACATGGAGAAACCCTGTCTCTACTAAAAATACAAAATTAGCTGGGCGTGGTGGGCACGCCTGTAATCCCAGCTACACAGGAGGCTGAGGCGGGAGAATCGCTTGAACCCAGGAGGCGGAGGTTGCAGTGAGCCGAGATTGCGCCACTGCACTCCAGCCTGGGTGACAAGAATGAGACTCTGTCTCAAAAACAAAACAAAAAAATAAAAACTAAACAACAACAAAAAACAACACTGGCTTTAATGGTGATAATTTGCTACTAATAAAATCAATAGCTGTTTTTTCAACTGAACAAAAAACCGTACTACTAACATGTTTCTTTATGCCAAGGGAGACATTCTCTAATGCCTAGAGAAACATGGCCTGTGATCTCTCACATTCAATTCAGGAACTCAGGGTCAAGCAGAAGGCCATGCTATAGAGTTCAACACTCTGCTCTTCCCAATTTCATTATGTCCTGGAAGTTTTAAGAGCCGTCCGGAAGAGTGTACGTTAATGGAAAGCTCAGTGAGAACTGCTCTTAAGAAGCCCCTCAAATAATACATTAAGCCCAGCATCATTCATGTGGGCGGAATACAAACTGCCATTCCTAACAGGACTTACCTAGCATGGAATCAATCTTAACCATGGTACCAAACTCTCATGTGAAGCACGCGATGCCCAGTGAAAGCCAGGTGTTTGGTATAATGCTGACCTAGTGACCTCTGGCCTTTTTGGCTGTGCTCATTGCCTGGTCCCAGTAGTCACTCAGTGCCAGGAGCCCAGGGAAAGGAGCAGGGGCTGCAGGAAGGAGGGAGGTGTAGCACAACCTGCTCCCACTTCAATCATCACCCAACCACATGGCCTCTGGCTGACCATCAAGTAGGCCCAGCATTTTCAATCCACACCACAGGCCCATGTCCTAAACCAGGATTTTACAAGTCTCAGGGAACTGGCTGCAATAGCTATAACCAGTATACCTCTGGGACCAGCAGCCGGAGCACTCCAAATGGCAGGCATGTAGATTCATAGCTAACACATGCCCAATTTTTCCAGTTTTACCTCTTGCTTTTATGAACCAGAACAAGTTTGGGAGGTTGAAGTAGGGAGAGGGTTAGAAATCATTTCAGCATATACTTTTTTAGGTTCTGCCAGACAACCTTTTATTACATCAGAAAAGCAACACTAGGCACTAGATCTTGCAAAATATGTTCTGACCAACTCTAAACTTTCTGAAGTTATAACCACATCAGTAAGGTTTTTAATGAACAAAAAAGTTAAATACAAACTTTCATATGCAAAATAGATTATTGTATAACTGGCAACCTCAGAGCCAAGTACTAAATTTTCTTCCACAAATTTCAGTGGGGATGGAGTGGGGAGATGTCAGTCTTAATGAGCAGAAAACTTAATTTAGGCTTAATATATAGAAAACAAAAACTCTGAGGAAAAATAGCTTTAAATTGAATAGTATCTTTTGAATTAAACAGCTCAGGCCAGGCCCTATAATTCTGAGGTTTATACTCAATCAGATCTGGGATGAAAATGAAGATTTAGGGTTTACAGTTACTTCAAATCCATGAATCCAGTTTCAAGACTAAGCCAAGTCACCTCATTTCCAGAAAGGGAAGTCTCTTTAAGATGACAACACATCTCTTCGGAAGATGCTTGGATAGCCAGAGTTCCTTGGGCACAGGTCCACTGTTCATGGCACTGTGCCAACGCTGTAGTGTCAGACTTCCTCTGAAAGGCAACGGGAGCCCTATCCCACAGCATTTTCATTTCTCCCAGCATTTTTGAGCCTCAAAAAAACAAAAACAAAAAACAAAATCCCAAACCCTCCAGCTTCATGTTGGCAGTTACTGCTCCAGCTCCACTTCCTTCCGCCCCCAGTGAGAGTTCCCTCCTGGTCTTCAGCAGGGAGTGGCAGCTTGAGTAACATTCCTTTCAGAAATAAATAGTTCAAACAAGTAATTTAGAGCTAACTGTAAAAGAGCAGCAGCAAATGACCACTGCCCATTATGTTTGCAAACGAGTGAGTGAATGAATACGCTGAACAAACACACAGAAAACAAACAATTCACAGAGTAAATCCTGCATTTCCCACATTCATAGGGAAAAGAATCTCTTAAAAAAAATAGTAGTTAGCGTTTGTTCTTGTGTGGGTTGAATAGTCCAAAGCTCTGAGCAGGCACAGCCTTACAAACAGGATTGCAAGCAGCCCTCTGCACCCCAAGTCAGGACTAGGGTGCAGTGAGAGGCCTTCATGCACTTTTGACAGCTCAGTACCTGTGAGAGAACAGAAGTGATGCAGGGACTTTTTAACCCACAATGCATGAGGTATATGGAAATGTCTGTGAAAGAACCACCAGCAGCTAGAGGGGACCAGGCAAAGTTTTCTCACAGCAACTGCTGATGAAGGATTTCCCACACCATCTTCTTCCGGAAGAGAGGCATCTGGTGCTGCAAAGAATCCCATAAACAACACACGCATTACATCATAATGTGCACAGCAGCACAACCTTCAGGTGTAATCATGTCAATAAAGCAGGATGTCCATGTTCTTTTTCTAAATGTTGACATTTTTAGATCATGGAACATACTTATCAAACCATTAAAAGGCCGGGCGCAGTCCTAGCACTTTGGGAGGCCGAGGAGGGCAGATCACAAGGTCGGGAGATCGAAACCATCCTGGCTAACACGGTGAAACCTTGCCTCCATTAAAAATACAAAAATTAGCCGGGCATGGTGGTACATGCCTGTAGTCCCAGCTTCTGAGGAGGCTGAGGCAGGAGAATCACTTGAACCTGAGAGATGGAGGTTGCAGTGAGCCAAGATCATGCCTCTGCACTCCAGCCTGGGCAACAGAGCAAGACTCCGTCTCAAAATAATAATAATAATAATAATAATAATAATAATAATAATAATAAACTAGTGATGTCCTACCTAGGGGTGGGGACTAAAAAGTCTTAACACATGATTCTTAAATTATTTTAAATAGTTCAAAACATCTAGTAAAAACTGCACATTTGCTCCTAGTAAAACTGCTAAGACTAAGCAATAAATGCCTTTATTTTTTACTGGAATTGTATTAATTCAGCATGGGAGTCCTAGTTACTTCATGTAATACAGTTTGTATTATAGTTTGTATTCATGGAATAAATACAGTTTGCTTGGTAGACAACATCTATCAAAATAAGGTCTGTGGATGAAAAATATATATATATATTTTTTGAGATGGAGTCTCGCTCTGTCACCCAGGCTGGAGTGCAGTGGCTGGATCTCAGCTAACTGCAAGCTCCGTCTCCTGGGTTTATGTCATTCTCCTGCCTCAGCATCCCCAGTAGCTGGGACTACAGGCGCCCGCCGCCTTGCCTGGCTAGTTTTTTGTATTTTTTAGTAGAGACGGGGTTTCACCGTGTTAGCCAGGATGGTCTTGATCTCCTGACCTCGTGATCCACCCGTCTCGGCCTCCCAAAGTGCTGGGATTACAGGCTTGAGCCACCGCGCCCGGCCCTGAAAAATATTTTTAATGAGGTTGTCCTCAGTTGTAAAAAGGTTGAGAATCCACTGTTACAAATTCTCAAGAATTCTCAACATACTTGAGTTTCCAATCAAATGCAGAGCCATGGAGAATTAAACAAACAAAAGAGCAGAACAGAAAGGAAGAGCAGTATTCACAAGTTACATCTTAGACCTGTGACTTCAGTGCTCACAGGCCTGTTTTTCCCTTGCTATTAAATACTGACATACCTCTTTCTGTGGCTAGAAATAATAATACACAGGAACCAATGAATGCCAGAGTTCAGAGGTTTGCAATTTGTGCCCATTGTGTACCAAAGACTAGGATAAACCTGAGAGCAGATAAAACAACAAACCCTGATTCTGGCAGGGGTAGGGCTAAAACCAAGATTTACAGCAATAAGAATAGCACAGCTACTACTTTTTTTTTTTTTTTTTTTTTTTGAGATGGAGTTTTGCTTTTGTTGCCCCAGGCTGGAGTGCAATGGTGTGATCTCGACTCCCCACAACCTCCACCTCCTGGGTTCAAGCAATTCTCCTGCCTCAGCCTCCCTAGTAACTGGGATTACAGGCATGCGCCACCACGCCTGGCTAATTTTGTATTTTTAGTAGACACAGGGGTTCTCTATGTTGGTCAGACTGGTCTTGAACTCCTGACCTCAGCTGATCCACCTGCCTTGGCCTCCGAAAGTGCTGGGATTACAGGCATGAGCCCAGCTACTATTATTTATTTATTTTTGAGACAGAGTCTCGCTCTGTTGCCAAGACTGGAGTGCACTGGTGTGATCTCGGCTCACTGCGACCTCTGCCTCCTGGGTTCAAGTGATTCTCCTGCCTCAGTCTCCTGAGTAGCTGGGATTATAGGTGTGCACCACCACACCTGGCTAACTTTTGTGTTTTTAGTAGAGATGGGGTTTCACCATGTTGGCCAGGCTGGTCTTGAACTCCTAACCTCAGGTGATCCACCTGCCTCGGCCTCCCAAAGTGCTGGGAATATAGGTGCGAGCCACCACGCCTGGCCAGCTAGTACTACTGAGAGCTGAACATGTGCCAGGCACTGGCCAAGTGCCTTATCTTGCTTAGTAACAAGTAAATGAATGAGGAGGGTCTTCACTCACCTGAGTAAATGTGATAGGTTTGTCCCTAGAAATATAATCTGCATATTTACAAGTAAACATTCCACAATCACTCCCATTCAACTGTTGAGGAATCTCCTAAAATTACAAACGAAAAAGAAGGGAGGAAAGGGTAAAACATCATTATATACAAATCCCTTGGACTTCTTCTAAATATTGCTATAAACAATATTATAAAGGTAAATATTAAATCAGGTATTACCTAAACACACCGTCATACACAAAAAACACAATTATTCTTACTCTGTGTGGTATAAAACATAGATCATAGCAAGGGAAAAACAGGCCTTGTGAGAACTGAAGCCACAGGTCTAAGATGTAACTTGCGAATACTGCTTTTCCTTTCTGTTCTGTTCTTGTGTTTAATCTTCCATGGTTCTGCATTTGATTGGAAACCCAGACTATGAGATGGAGAGCGTGACCCCATAGGAAAAATGTTTTTCAGAAAAGAAAAAAACAAAGTGAAAGTTCCATATCTCAGCTCCCATTCAAAGAAACCAAATTGAAAGGAGGTTTACTACCGGGAATGCTAGTCAGAATTATTTCAGAAGCATTTATTAATTTTAAAAAGGGCCAAGTGTGGTCAATCAGAAATGTAATTTCTCTAGCTAAGAAAATAAGACTACTGCTTTGGACCCCTACAGCTTCAAGGCAGACAAGAGAAGTTCCTGAATAGGCTTTAACCAATCAGGATCTTGCCTTGACAGATCAGTTATGCCCTAAGGCAAAAACAAGACTTGCTACAAGCAGCACTAAGAGCATAAGCCAAAGGTGGTGGATTCTAAACCCACTGAGCTCACACCTTCTCCAGGCCTGTGTTGCCCTAACCTTGGCGGTTCCTGACACACTCTGGCTGTCAGTCACAAGTAGCACAAGTTAGTAAGAATATGGGAGAGGCCGCTTCCACTGCTGGAAAACACACTAGATGACAAAAGCTCAATTTTTATTCAAAGAAATGAAGTTAATTATGATTTTTAAAGTTTGCTTAAATACATACCATCCATACATACGCAGATACCTCACACTTTTCTCTTGAGCCTAGCATCTCTCACAGAATGGACAAAACTACAGACTACAATATACAAAGAAAGGCAATTTGCTTGCTTTATTCCATTTCCCATACCAGAACACAGTATTCATCCTAACAGACTCTTCCTTACATCTGTGCTCTCCTTAGGAAATTTCAAAGCTTATCCTTCAAATTTTTCTTTTTCTTTCTTTTTTTTTTTTTTTGAGACAGTCTCGCTCTGTTGCCCAGGCTGGAGTGCAGTGGTGCAATCTCCACTCACTGCAACCTCTGCCTGCCAGGTTTACCTGATTCTCCTGCTTCAGCCTCCTGAATAGTTAGGATTATAAGCATGCGCCACCAGACCCAGTTGATTTTTAGTGGTGACAAGGCTTTGCCATGTTGGCCAGGCTGGTCTCAAATTCCTGACCTCAGGTGATCTGCACACCTTGACCTCCCAAAGTGCTGGGATTACAGGTGTTAGCCACCGCACCCAGCCCAAATTTTTCAGTTTAGAAATTAAAATGCTTTTTTTGTAATGGGATCCTAAGATTTAAATAAACAAACTCCCAAATTTTGGAAAAGAAATGTAAACTTTCATTAGCACCAACAGGGAAATTAGCCAACTTGAATTTATTGGGTTTTTTTCCCAATTCTGTGAGAGATATGCAAGCATATGGTTAACATTACATTTGGCGCAAGAAGATGAAAGCTAAGCAACTATCTTAGTTAAATTAATTGCTAAAGATTTAGAAGCAGATCATTCTTAAGATGTATACTCTGGCCAGGCATAGTGGCTCACACCTGTAATCCCAGCACTTTGTTTTGGGAGGCCAGGAGTTTGAGACTAGCCTGGGCAACAAAGCAAGATCCCATCTCTACAAAAAAGAAAGAAAAAAAAAGATGTGTACTTTAAAAGTATGCAGGGAGGGAGGAAGGGCAGAAAAGGAGCCAAATATGAATAATATACTATTAGTAAATGCAACAAAGTATGTCAAATATAGATGATTGTCACTCACATGTGGTTTCATGCTGTAATGGGTCCACTCTAAAAGATTCAGATCAGTATTTCTTTTGGTCTTACTTTCATCCTGTAAATACTGACTAAAAAGCAAAACAAAGAAGGAATACAACAATAAATCCTTACAGAAACTAACCATTATGGTTACAAAGGGCTTTGTGATGTTAAACAGATACGCCATTCTCAAATCCATATTCATTAGCTTTTTAAAAACGTGACTGCTTTCTGGACTTTTTTTTTTTTTTTTTTTTTTAAGATGGAGTCTTAGGCCGGGCGCGGTGGCTCAAGCCTGTAATCCCAGCACTTTGGGAGGCCGAGACGGGCGGATCACGAGTTCAGGAGATCGAGACCATCCTGG